GAAAAAGTGAATACGTAAAACTGAATTCGAAGTAATTCCGCGAGTGAAATTTGAATAGTTACAAGAAGTTGATTTCTAGTTTATTTCTTTTAGAATTGTTTTTGTGAGTAGGATAGGGTATTTGGCTTTTGAGAACAATTGAATTCGTGTGCAATAGTTTATAGCCGTATTCAGGTAAGAAAAGTGCTTAAGATTCTGACCGAACAGAAACTACAATACCACGATGTTCAGGTTCAGCCTACCAACGTGGGCGGTTTGTGCCGGATCCGTTGGAATCAGATCGTTTGCCGTGTAGTCGGTAATAGCCGGCTAGGACGTCGAGAAGCGTCAAGCGCTAGGGGTCGTGGCGTTCTTTTGAGTCGACCCCGCGCATACATCGAAGTATCGAGCAGCTGTACGTTTTTCACAGCTCGAGATTTTCAGCCTGTACACGAACCCGAAATCCAACCCGTCGATTCAAGCAGTACGACGTCGAGCAGCCTCAATCGAGTTCGGCACTCCATCCGTTCCGGGGACGCATTTACCCCGAAGTTGGTAGCCAAGGCACGGTGGATGTTCGTCGATACATGGGCTTGTTCGTCGATGCTACTTCTCCGTCCGTAAAACTGCAGAGGAAATCAACACTGAGCAACAGCTACAGCTTAACTCGACGGCGTAGGATGCGCCGTTCATCAAGGTCAGATCCATTCTTTGCTTTTGGAATTGAACTATATTGTTCGTAGAAAGAAAAACGAAGATTATTAGTTAGTCGTGACGTCACAATTGAGTAAGGTTTGTTCTCATTCGAAAACTTGAACAAATTGGGTTTCCTTCAGTCATTAGCACACTCCAGATAGCTCACGAAAAGTATTCAGATTTTGCGTAATTATTTCTCGATTGATTGATGGACTTCCAGTTTAGTTTGAGACTTCACCAAATCGTGTTCGAATAATTTTATGTGACGAACGAATTCGGCGGCGTTTAGCCGAGACACTTTTATTGACGGCTTAAATGTGTGTAGATGAGTTTGAAGTTGTCGGTAATACAATTATCATCGAGGATTAGTGAGTTTTGAGAGTCACTTGTTGGTCGATTCAAATTATTAGGTTTTTTTTGTTCTGGAAATACAGAAAACCTGCCCTGAGTGAAAGAAATCTCGTGCCGGGATTAAATCAGTAACAAAATAAGTTTGAAAAATTCAGAGGTACAAATAATTATGCTTGGATAAATGTTCAAGAACCTTGAACGAAGACACATATGTATTCATGAAGTTGGATATTGAGAATTTTCCTGAGTATTTTCCAAGGTCACAGATTTTAAAACCATCAAGATTAAGGTGGGATGGAATGACTGGCAAATCGGTTAAAAAAAATCTAGGCTAATTGCATAATTTTCAAGGTTCGTGAAATTTGATGATAATTTCTAATGAGATCATTCCAAGAAAGTTCTGCCTCAACTGTGAGGAAAACATCAAGAGCAATCTGCTTGCAAGGTAGTCCTGAGGAACTCCAGATTCTATGTGTAACCTGAATACCGTTCGATTTTGGCACCGTGCCAAAATTTGAAAATAATGTATTTATGCTCCTTGTGATTACAATTTCTAAGAAAAGATTTTGGCAACAATAAATTTTCGGGCTTGTTGCTAAAATCAAACGGGTACTGTACCAAGGTGTTCTCAGTAGAATTCCAAGTTGATTTGAAAGAAAATTCATATGAATTTCTGAAGTAAATTCGTAAAGAATCCTAAAAAGGACTCCATGGAAATTCAAAGAAGAATTCCAAAGGAATTCTGAGGATAGTTTTAAGAACTTTCGGGGTTAAAAATAATTCGGAGCATAATTCCAGGAGAATTCTGGCTTGCACGCCATTTGATTATTAATCTATGGAACTTGTTACTTCACTGCAAGCCAATTCTTTGAAAAACTTTCAAAGTGTGTAGAATTACAAGGGAAGGAGTAAAATTGAGAGGGCATCTGAATAAATTCGTTGAAAATTCTGGGAATAATTTCTTACTGATGAGAATTTCAAGGTGATTCCGAAGAAAATTCTATAGGAATCGAAATCCGAGGATGATTCCAACGAAATTTCAAGGGAATTGCAAGCATGTTCCGGTGATAAGTTTTTACAAAATTCAAAGCAGAGTTCAAAGGAAGTTCGCTTTGAGAATCGTTCGAGAATGGATGTGTTTGTGCTACGCTGCGGGCTTTTATTTTATTTTATTTTATTTTTTACTGGCATGGAGTTTTTCGGTTCTCGCATTTGATTAGTTTTGTATCCCGGGCGCAATAATTGAATTTGGAAAGGTTTGTGCTGATGTTTTCCTCCCTGTTGCTTGGTGTGCTCTCGCTTCTCTTTGTTGCCGGTGAGACTTAACCGCGCTGATCTATTGTTAGGTTTTTGCGATGTGCAATGCTTTTGATTTGAAAAAGAAAATAGGGTTAACTACCCCATTTCCAGCCTATTAAGCACAACCCGCACTTAGTCTTTCTTAATATAGCGCAGTTTAGAACCAAACGGAATGTTATTATTACTGATGGCTTCCAAATGTATTTACCTCTCTGTACGTACCGTAACATTTGATAAAGAGAAACCAATCGTTGAGATATTGTCAAAAATCTAACCCTGCTTCTTGACGCCAAACTCGGCCTACGGATTCTAAACTCGGCCTAACGCATTGAAACGCCTTTGAAACGCAATTGAATTCACTTCGGCCTATCGGATGAAGATAAAAATTGATTCGGTCGGAGCGCTTCTTTTGTTTTTGGGAATAATGGGTGCAAACCTTCATATCAGGCGTTCTCATTGACTTCGTTCGGTAGCTTATTAACTAAAGTATCGTACCAAACCCATAATTGACTTGTTAACTCTGAAATCATGGATTTATTTGAAGTTTTCTGCTCGATAGGCCCAAAATGGGCGATTAGGCCGAAGTAGTTCTCTACCCTAGATAGGGTTACGGGATGTAATGGCAGCCTAGCCCCTCACTTCGGCCTAACAAGCAAATATTCCATTCATTCAGCAATAATACACAATAGTAACGAAAAACTTAAACCCACACACTTAAAAATTAATGTAAATTTAGGTGCTCTGAGACTGACATCTTCGAGCGTCAATTTTGACATAAAAATGAGTCATAATAGACGCGGAATTCAGCTCAATCAAACGTACTTTCGAACTTTTCAGTGTCAGAGCACTTAATTTTACATGACATGTTTGTTTACGTTTACGTTTCATCCTTTATGAGAAAGGCGGATTCCGTCACGTGTAAGATTAAGTATTTCTAAGTGTGCAGGCTTGCTGAAACTCCTCAAATTCACTGGGTTTTTTAAAACACTCTTGTCCTTCGAGTTTAGCCAGCCCTCACCTTGAGTTAGTGGCGGCAGGATGATTGATGATTGATGACAAATATTGACGAAAAGCTGATTTTAATTTCACTTTGTCAATACTCAGAATGTATTAACAAAAAACCACCAATTTCACCATCAATATCATCGATACACAAATATTGACAACATTGATGGCAATACGTTAGAAGTCTTTTTTACCTCAATGTATTGAAGTCAATATTACTTGTCTTAATTTCCCCACACAAGAAACATGGATCAGCGAAAGAAAGTGTGTTTAGAGTTCATGTTTGCATTCGGGTCCAAACAGAAACGATTGCTGAACCTGTATGTATTGAAAATACTAGCTACACACTGAATTCGGTAAATTTTGCCGGGGTTTTGAACAGCTGATAAATTGGAAAAATTTCAAATGACCGTTACTCGAAGGAAATCAATAAAATCGATAAATTTCAATTTTTGTTTTTAATTTTTCATTGATTTGTAAACTTTTACCGAACAGTTCTGTAGTTCAAAAATTACCAAACAGCGGAGGTTTAGTCGATATACATAGAAACCAACTTTCAACCAACATTTACTTATACTTGCTCATTTCAAATAAATTTTCAGGATTTTTAGAATAAATAGTGTTAAATTATGATCTATTCCATGCCTACACTTAAATTCTCAGAATGATGCATCCAATTTTATTTTTGATATCACTGAACTCTCCTGTTTCGTTAGAACAATAATGTCACTAGTGAAGTGAGAAAAGTCACGTCGTGGTGTCGTGACTCTCTATGCAAATCAAATGGACCCAACTATTAATTTTGGTTTTATGCGGGTTCTGTAGACCATGATTTGGACTTGTAGGATGCTATAAAACCTCTATAAAACTTGCAATGTTACTTGGGGGAGAGTCACGTTACCACGACGTGACTTTTCTTACTTCACTAGAGACAAAAGGCACTTCGACTCTCGGAATAATCCCCATAATGCTTAGTTTTATCATAATGATACACTAGTTTTATCATGATGAAAATATTCTTATACTTTCAGGCGAATTACTATTGATGATTATTAAAGTCAACTAATGTGATATGTGAATTAAACTGTATAAATGACCACATATATAGTTTATTAATTAACATAGGATGTAACGTGAACGTGGGTTATTCTGCGTGAGCTGTAAATCCACGGATTTGTCATTCAAATACCAAATCGGTATACCAAATGTTGTAACTTTTTGACAGGATACTGAAAATACACAGGACTTTCAAATTGATCGAATTTAATCAAATCGATTGGTTAGTGCGCAGAACTACTACACGTGTGAAATACCCCACGTTAACGGTACACAGTTTCCCAAATAGAAACTATCATGCTGATGTTTTGGTAAACATTCATAAATGAAAATCATGCATATAATAATTAATTTACATTACATGTAGGTATGTTAAACGCTGATAGTATTTATTTTATTTTATAGTAAAAAAAAATAACATGGTTATGCTTGTGATTTTGTAGAAAATGTAAATCCATATAAACGAAGCCTGGGCGATTGGTGAATTTAAAAGATACATTTTTATTTAGTTTGAAATTGATTGCATATCACACACGAAAATTTAAACAAATGGCAACACTATATGCCTGGCTGCATACGCGAAGGTGCTTTGTGAGTCAGTCGATCTAAATGACGTAAAGGGTGTCCACGATGAAATTGCCACACACAAAATTGATTCGCAAAATTCGAGTTTTCATCCGATTGCCATCAAATTTTCAGGGATTCAGAAATAACTATTAAACTTCATTTTACCATTTTACTCGTATTTTATTTACAGTCCATACGCAAATGCCCGCACCTTGGCCTTAACCCCGGCCATAAGATTCTGCACAACCTGTGAATCAACCGTTTTTTGCATGTTAATCCATACTTTCTTCAGTTCCTCGACTGTCTTCACTACCTTAGGTCGTTTAAGAAGGTGCTGCTTCATAATCGCCCAGTACTTCTCGATGGGGCGGAGCTCCGGAGTGTTGGGAGGGTTGAACATTTTTGGCACGAAATTGACCTTATTGTCCGCATACCACTTCAGCACGTCCTTGGAGTAGTGGCATGAGGCCAAATCCGGCCAGAAGATTGTTGGGACGTTGTGGGCCTTCAGGAGAGGAAGCAGCCGCTTCTGGAGGCACTCTTTTATGTACACCTGTCCGTTCATCGTGTCCTGGGTCACGAAAGGTGCACTCCGCTTCCCGCACGTGCAGATGGCTTGCCAAACCAGGAATTTCTTCGCAAATTTGGACATCTTCTGAGTGCGGACATGCTCCGGAACGCTGAACTTATCCTTGGCCGGGAAAAACAGGTTGCCGGGGATCTGTTTGAAGTCGGCCTTCACATATGTTTCGTCGTCCATGATGCAGCATTCAACTTTCGTCAGCATGTTGAGGTACAACTTCCTGGCACGGGTTTTGGCGGACTTGTTCTGCTTCTCGTCGCGATTAGGGGCCTTTTGTACCTTGAAAGTTCGAAGCCCACCCTTAGTTTTGGCCTTCTGGACAAAACTTCGGCTTAGGTGCAGCTTCTTAGCCACATCCCTAACGGAGGCGTTCGGATTTCGGTTGAAGGCCCCAACTACGCGGTTGTGATTTTTGGTGTTGTACGGAATACTTTTTCCTTCACTTCTGGGCTTCCGATCGGTGGTCAACCGTTCCTCGAACCGCTTAATCACTCGCGACACCGTGGAATTCGCGATTCCCAACGTTTTAGCGATGGAACGATGCGAGAGATCCTTGTTCTCGTGATGAATGCGCAAGATTTTATCACGCACGAGCTTTCGACTCCATTTCCGCGAGTTTTGATCACAGGACTTTAAAACTTGCAGGATGTAAATAATGCACTATGAACTAAATTCACCCTAATTTTCATTAAATTCTACCCAACGGTTAAAAAGTTAGAGCAATTTCATAGTGTGGCAATTTCATCGTGGACACCCTTTACGTTCTCCCTCCTCTTGGGTAGGGGAAGAAAATTGACAAAGTGAACTGAAAATCAGTTGTTCAATAATACTCGTCATCAATATAACCTTTTCAATAATATTGTCAGCATGTCAATTTACTGTCAATATATTGACCCGTGTAGCGAGCGCTTTAGCGTATTGTCATTAATGTTGTCAATATTTATGTATTGATAATATTGTAAGGAAAATTGACAATACAATGTTTGTCAATATATTTGCATGTGTAATGGGCGCTTGTGATAGAAAAAAAATGAACATGAATGGCAGCAAATCTCACTCTCATTTTATCCCCCTTCGCTCACAAGCTCTGAAGCTCAGTGGAATGATTTGGCAGCAGGCATTCTACTCCTCAGAAAAATGTTACGCTCGGCTCATTTCAAACTTAATCAAGCCTGCTCATACCACATCTGCTGTGAAATTGTAATCCGTAAATGAAAAGCCTATTTTAGGGACAAATTAAGAACATTTATTGTTCATTTTCAAAGAAAAAGTTTAGTGAAATTTTCATATTTTCCGATTTCTAGACGCTATGCTCTTGCCGTATTATTGCACTAAGGTTTTGTTTAATGGTTTGTTACTATTTGAAATGTTATTAAGTGAATCTCTTTAATGCGAAAAAACTAAGAACTCCGTTGCTTGAATTTATTAATTAGGGCCTTATTACGGGTGTCACTACACGGTGATAAGGAAGTGATACTCAGAATAAGAGCCGTGATTGCAGTACAAATCAAATGGGAATCACTTCACCGTGACGACAAGTGACAAGTTTTCACCGTGAAGTGACATCCGTAATAAGCCCCTTAATCTCGAAATTGCTTCACCTGAGATCAACAATGCGTAAACAAGATCTTCTGGATCTGAGTAACAAAAGCTCTTTGGAATTTCTTTCGATAGCTTCTAGACTTGAAGTCAACTAAACATTCCTTCTCTGCCGGTGGAAGCATAACTGTCCCATGTTACAAAACACAAAAATGAGAAAACTGCAGTTAAAGTTTGAACAGACGTTTTGCTGCTATCGTAAAATTTCACGGAAAAATTTGGTTCTACTTCGAAAAACTGACGTAATATAACTATTCCATAAAAAGCTTGTCAAAATTCCGCAAAAAAAAAATAAATTTTTCCATTAAAAAATCTTCTGTGACACTTATGCCGCGAATTTCTCTGACGTGTTGAAAAATGTACGCATATGTGTCCCACTGTGAACAACTTCTCAGTTGCTGCTGTTATTATGTTTGACACTTCGTGGGTGACGGTTGAAGTTTTTTTCTTTAAATTGTTGACTTCAGTGCCAATATTTCAAAGGGGCGTAATTGCGTTTGTAAACAATGGATTTAGCCGTCGATTTCTCGCGCCTAAAAAAGCTCACTCATTAAAATTAATGGCACTACAGGCTAAGGAATCTACCAGCTAGCATTGTTAATATGGAGGGGTGAGCATTTATTTGCGAGATATCGACGGCTAAAGCCATTTATTTTTACAAAAGCAATTACGCCCCTTTGAAATGTTGACACTGATTTAAATGTGGGCCGGAAACGTCTGTCATATAATATTTAAAGCAGTACGGTGGTTCCAGTGATAGTAATAGACATTTGCTCCTGTTGGCGCATACATGTATTAGGCCCGAGTCGATCAGTGGTCGCACTGCCAATGACATTCTTAGTTGTTTTTTTTCAGAGTAATTAATAAGCATGCTCACTAGACTGATGCAAACTTTGACATTTTCGCTCCACAGTGCTCAAACGGTTCCAAATCGGGTCATGATAAGTCTCCCAATATTTGAACTCCTTTGATAAGAGACTGACTTGGCACAAACCATTTGAAGTTTATATGGAAATTACTATGGGAAATCCAAACTTTTTGTTCATTGTCTTCTTACCTTTTTCGATATTGCACTGTCCAAAAATTCAAAAAACTATACTTATGGAAAATTTTCTCAGCTACAACTTAGCAGAATATAGTTGTTGAGCCAAACGTCAAATAAAATTGTTATTAATTGTTTAAGAGATTGATAATCTTATGGCATGATCAAGCAGCTGTTTTGTTAGCAACACTGTATCTTGCAGTGTGACATAGTAGCCATGATTTTTGTTCTGTATTCTAAGCGCCAGAAACACCAATGTTGCCTGCTGAACAGTTGATTGAGCATAATCATAAGACTGAGCATAATCATAATCATAAGGCTTGAATTATTCATAAATTTTGATGCTTACATTATATTAAAAAGTGGTTTTGGACAAAGTTGTAGCTGAGAAATTTTTCTAAGAGGTCAGTTATCATTTTTTGAAGCAGAGTGATATGGTAAATTGTTAGATGGATATGAACAAAACATTTGGTTTACCCATAGTAATTTCCATATAAACTTCAAATGGTTTGTGCCAAGTCAGTTTCTTATCGAATGAGTTCAAATTTTGGGAGGCTAGTCAGAACCCGATTTTGAACCGTATGAGCACTGTGGAGCGAAAATGTCAAAAGTTGCATCAGTCTAATGCTCACCTTAACAAACTTACATTTTGGTTGGACCGTTGCTCATCCCAAAACAAGAATTGGAATTTGTTTCAACGCATCATCCTTCTGATAAACAGTACGGAAATTCAACTGAGCAAATACTGTTCAAGTTTTTTTTAATCAGGCCATACTTTTATGGCCGCAGCGGTTGCAAAAAAAATCGTCTCGAACGTGTCGTTCCAAGCTAAGTTTAATGTCTCGCAGTACACGTTGAACTTATTCAAGCCATCGTGGACATCATGAGAAAATTGGTTTTTCAAAAAGGAAGTTATGAGCTAGGATACGCAAGCAACATCAACCGTGAGGACCTTAAATACTGCAAACTGTTTTCCAAGAAACAACTCCAGCTGATCGAAAAGGATACGTTCTCTACTGAAGCTAACGTACTCTGGCAAAGGTCTCCTTGTGGAATTGAAGTAGATAGGAAAGCCTCTCGATGTGTTATTTGGTTGACAGACTATATTTTTTGAATAATTTCTTATACGTATTAAAAGTTGGAGCAGTGGGACAGATATGCGTCCATTTTTGCAATGGGACAAAACGACTTCACATTTTTTTTTTTAATTTTTCTAGAATAAACAGCATGTTTGAATATAATATTTCAAAAATATTTATTGATTTATCCCGTTAAGCAGCATAATCCCAAAAAAAGTCGAAATGACACATGGGACAGTTATGCTTCCACCGGCAGTTCTGTACTTACCCAGAAAGCCGATTGGCCACGCCCTAGATTTGATTTGTAAATGTGCTCTGGATTTGTCCTTACCTTATCCTGCCTTTCCTGGTCAGTGGCGCCGGTGGTGTAGTGATAAACGTGATTGCAGGCCTGGGTTTAATCGTTAGACACCTAACACCATCATCATCTGGAATACAGGAAGTTCAGAAAGCTTAAGATCCTTCCAGGATGTTCAAAAAGAGTAATCTCTGAAAAACTGATACGAAGTTATCTAAACTATTCCAATATTCCTGAGCTCCTATGCAGTTAACAGAACTTCTGATCAGCATGGCAAACTTTTACGAAGTTAGATTAACTTTTACGAAACTCGTTTAACTTTTTTTTATGTTTTATGAAGTTTCTCGGACTGCTATGAAGTTCACTTCACTACTCCAAAGTTCACTGTTCTTCTACAATTTTTGTTGATTTTATTTTATAAACTTCCAATAAGGGAAATCAAGGAAATCGTCAAGGGAAATCCCAGTTCAATAAACTGGGATTACCCTGACTTATTACTAATACATTTAAATGTAACGGAATGCCCTGAACTTAAAAAAGTTCTTTGAATATTTGTGAGATTAAATAATGTGTCCTGAACTTTTATGAAGCTTCCTAGACTTGTACAAAGATTCCACATCTTCGCAGTATAGTTTTCAATATTATTTCGAGACTTTCACCATTTTTTTAAGTTCCCTGAAGTTCTATAAAGCTTTACGATGTTTTCAGAATATCTACCAAGTTTTCTGAATTTCTATTATGTTTCCTGAACCTCTACAATGTCCGATCGACGGAATGTGAAGTTTTTCGAAATTCCCTGAAGCTTCAACGAAGTTCCTTGAATATTTTGCAAAATTCACTTAAATCCTCTAAAGTTTGCTATTTTACAACAAAGACTGATGAAGCTTGAAAAAGATTAGCTGAACTTCTATAACGTTCAATAAACTTTAACAAAATTCTATAAAGTTCAATAAACTTCTACAAAGTTTGCAGAACTTAGCGGCGCCGGTGGTGTAGTAGTAAGTGTAATTACCTCTCACCCCAGCAGGCCTGGGTTCAATCCCACTAATGATCACTAATGATTGTAAACATCCTCAACAAAGAAAACTTAAACATCTGAATAAACGGGTCCGAGGGAAAGCAGCAAAAGTATATTCAACCGTTTGACTTGATTTTGATCAGTTTTTGTTACTTGATAACCAATTTAAAGCTTTTTCGAAGTTTACAAAATATT